CAAAAGAAACTCATTAAGTACCAGTAAGGGTGTAAATTGCTACAGCCTGTCTGGAAAATTGTTAGGCATCACTTGGTAAAATTGATGTAAGTTTGCACCAAAACATCAGTTCTGTTCCAAGGAACATACCAGAGAACTTTCGCTGCGGGCACATCTGGAGAAACATACAAAAATGTCAATAGAGACATGATTTGAAATAGACAAAGATGGGAATAATAGATAAAAGACTAGATACCCTTAAATATATATATAATTGTACATCCTACGGTTTTGAAAAATGACTAGACAATGGCATTGACATGGATGATACTCAAAAAATAATATCTGGGAGAAAACACCACTAGGGTATACTTAAAAGTGTAACTTATCACTAGCATATAAAATTAAAAAACAGATAAAACTAAGGAGTTGGCTTATTTATTAATAATTTGTTCTAATTAGGTATATATGACAGCAGAATGCATTTCAATTCATTGTACACAAATGGAGCACAACTTTTCATTTCTCTGGTTGTACACAATGTAGTGTCACACCATATGTGCAGTCATACATGTATCTAGGGTAATGATGTCCATCTCATTCCACCATCTCTCCTGCCTCCGTGCTTCCTTCCCTTCCTTCCTTCCTCTTTGCCCAATCAAAGTGCCTCCATTCGTCCCCTGCCCCTTCCCCCATTATGGATAAGCAGTATATTTTTTAGAACCTACATATGTTGTATTAACCATGAAAATACAAATTCTAGAATATTGACTTCAAAAAAGGTGCACAGTAATGGGAGTGTAGTACTATAAGTATAGTGAATTTTCTAATTTTTAAGCTAAATGGTAAGCATATGTCTATTTCTCTTGTTCTTCAGTTGAATTTCCCTATGATATTATCTCTTTTACTCGTATTTCATAATAAAATACACTTAAGTACTCTAATTTTGTCTTGAGTCAAGAATTTTAGAATTGGAAGTTGCTTTTTTTCTGTATGATGTTAACAGTGCCAGCCTCTCTCGGGGACTCGTGCTTAGTCACTACCCAGGAGGTGTGGCCACTCTGTGTTCCCATCTTCCTGCTCCTGGCACCTGAGTTGAGGGAGTTGCTGGGAATAATGTGCTAGTCTTTCACCACCAAAAGCCAAAGTCTGAAATTCCAAAAACACTTAGGGGCCTGTCACTGCTTTCACCCCATCTTAGACATAACCAGTCTAAATTCCTCACTTCTCCTGAAGCTTTGTTGTTTGAAACCTGCTCTTAAATCTCATCTTCTGTATAATTAAAGGTTACAACTAAGCTGACTTTATTTTTTGTTACATATGTTGATTTTTACTAGTCGTTGTAAGATACTACATGAAAATAATTAAACATTTAGAAAATATGATACACAAACTATCTACCAAAGGCTCAGAAGAAATTTTAGAAATGGTATTAAATTCAAAAAGATCCTGGTAGAAATGGAAAACAGAAAATAATAAAAAACTACAAAGAAAATTCTACCAAACTCGGGGACTATTAAACATGGTAGACAAATTTAATTGACCTTATAGTTTTCTACTTAATGGACTTTCTGTGACACTTTGGATAGACCAATCCATTCTTACTGAGCAGTCATGGCTCATTGCAGTTATATTTTACAAAGAGACTTATACACCATGGCTAGAAACATAGTTATTTAAAACAGTAAAAGGAGAGAGTAACAACAATTCATTTAAGTTAAACAAGAAAAGGATCATTTCACTGTTACTTAAAAACAGATGTAGCTGGTCATGGTGGCATACCATAATCCCAGGGACTCAGGAGGCTGACACAGGAGGATCACAAATTCAGGGGCAGCCTCAAAAAATTATCAAGACCCAGTATCAAAAAATAAAAAGGGCTGGGCATGGTGGTGCATGCTTGTAATCCCAGTGGGTTTGGAGCCTGAGGCAGGAAAATGGTGAGTTCAAAGCCAGACTCAGTGAAAGCGAGATACTAAACACTCAGTGAGACCCTGTCTCTAAATAAAATACAAAATAGGGCTGGGGATGTGGCTCAATAGTCAACTGCCCCTGAGTTCAATCCCCAGTACCCTCCTCCACAAAAAAATAAAAATAAAAAATAAATAAAAAGGCCTAGGGATACAGCTTCATGGTAAAGCTCCCCTGGGTTCAATCCTAAGTACCAAAAACAAAACAAAACAAAAACAATCATATACAGATTTCAGTTAAAATGAATAGAAAATCCTCTATCAATTGCTGGAAAATGGACCTGATGAAGAGAGAGAAACTCTGACACATGATGACTCTCTCAGGGATCTTTCTAATTCTAATATCCTCTGTATTCTAGTAGCTACTGGACTCTGATTCATGCCCTACAGCACTGGTTCCAAGATTGTTCCTTCTCTTTGGGCAGATGCAGACATAATAAACTCCAATCAATTTAAGGTAAAAGGAATGAGCAGGGTCTGGGACATCTGCCTGTAAGCTACTGGGGAGGCTGAGACAAGAGGATTGCAATCTCAAGGTCAGCCTGGGCAATTTAGTGAAATAAAATATAAGGGCTGGGGATATAGCTCAGTGGTAAAGTACTCCTGGGTTCAATTTCCAGTACTGCAAAATAATAATAATAATAATAATAATAATAATAATAATAAGGAGGAGGAGGAGGAGGAGGAGGGAGGAGGAAGAGAAGGAGGAATGAATTTTTGAAATGAATCAAAAAAAAATAATCACTGCAAATGAGGGAAGCCTGCTTGAAAGACTGAAAAATATATTACCAGTCTAAAGTTACTATATTACTTTTTATTTTAAGTTGAGAGTATAGTTATCATCAAATTTTAATTTTTTTAATTTTATTTATTTTAATTTATTATATATGACAGCAGAATGCGATTCAATTCATAGTACACATATAGAGCACATTTTTTCATGTTTCCGGTTGTACACAAAGTAGAGTCATACCATTCGTGTCTTCATACATGTACTTAGGGTAATGATGTCCATCTCATTACACCATTTTTCCTACCCCCATGCTCCCTCTCTACCCCCCCTCCCCTTTGCCCTATCTAAAGTTCATCTATTCCTCCCATACTCCCACCCCACATCCCCATTATGAAGCAGCATCTTTATATCAGAGAAAACATTCAGCATTTGTTTTTTGGGGGGATTGGCTTACTTATCATTATATTCTCCAGCTCCATCTATTTACCTGCAAATGCCATGATTTTATTTTCTTTTAATGTGAGTAATATTACATTTTGTATATATACCACATTTTCTTTATCCATTCATCTACTGAAGGGCATCCAGTTTGGTTCCACAATTTAGCTATTATGAATTGTGCTGCTATAAACATTGATGTGGCTGTGTCCCATTAATCAAATATATGAAAAATGTCCATCATCTCTTGCAATTAGAGAAATACAAATCAAAACTACACTAAGATTTCATCTCACTCCAGTCAGAATGGCAGCTGTTAAGAATACAAACAACAATAAGTGTTGGCGAAGATGTGGGAGAAAAGGCACACTCATACATTACTGGTGGGACTGCAAATTGGGGCAGCTGATATGGAAAGCAATATAGAGGTTCCTTGGAAAACTGGGAATGGAACCAACATTTGATCCAGCTCCCCTACTTTTGGGGTTATATCCAAATTTTAATTTTAATACTGTAAATAAACAACTCTGAAAATAAAGTGTGGCAAAAGTAGCTTGGTAATCATGTCCCATGATTCTCTATTAGGAGCTGGCGATGCCTGATTAGTTTTTTACTTACTGGGGGTCCTTTACTTCAAGGTGCTCTTGGCATGTGACCACTGAGCCATATCCCCAGCCCTATTTTATATTTTTATTTAGAGACAGGGTCACACTGAGTTACTTAGTGCCTCACTTTTGCTGAGGCTGGCTTTGAACTTGTAATCCTCATGTCTCAGCCTCTGAGCTGCTGGGAAGCAATTCTTACTCTTGAACAGGCTATGATGCTTCAAACATTTCAGTCTTTTTATTCCCTATCCTCTCTGGGCAGTACAACCTTCCCTTTTCTTTCATCCTTCACCTTCAACTTCCTACATTCCACAAATATGCTAAATTTATATACATTATCTCATTTAATTGCACAGCCACAGTCTGGGGTAAGTTCACCTTCCAGAACTTGATATTGGAGGAAACCAAAGCTTAGCAGGGTTAGCTCAACACTGGGCTCACAATGGGTGGCACTGCTTCTCAAAGTTTGCCTGGACTACAGCTGCAGTTGTGGAAACGAAGAGCAAGAGACTTAAACTTCAAAGACAGTTCTCTTTTGCAGTGGATGGGATTCAGCAATCTTTGGATCTGAGGATGAGGGGTAAAGTGTAATCCAGGATAATTGGAAGCTTCTGACTTGGTTATAATAACTGAGAGCAAAGAAGAGCTCTTGAAGCCAACTTGATTGGAAAGACCGTGAGCTCAGTTTGGACAGGCTGCCTGTGGGATAAAAGGTAAGGTCTCCTTAAGAGATAAACAGGATCATACTGTGTTCATAAAAAAAAAAAAAATATGATGGAGACACGAAGGAGTTTCAAGCATATGAGAGGAAAATCCTTTTGGCTCTAAAAATAGTGTAACTATATACATGCATATATAATAATGAAAAACTTAGCCACATTAAAGAGATGGGCCTTGTTTTCTCATTAGAACTTTAAAAAGTTAACATTATAATAAACGCAAAACTCTTTAAATTTATTTAGGTTAATGAATTGCTGTCAAGTTTTATAAACATTCAGTTTCGCTTAAATATACAAAACTTGATTGGGAAAGTAAGTGTCATATTGCTTTAAGGCTGGAGTGAAATGAAATTTATTTACTTATGGGAAGTTTCCCATAATCTGAGTTGTTTTGGGTTGGTTTTACCCTGGAAAGTCACTGCCAAGTCTCATTTGATTAGCAGTTTAGTGCCACAACCGGTACTGAAGGCAATGAGGAGGAACCAAAGAGGAACTCAAGAGTTCCTATCAGTTTTTGCTTCTCATCTACGAGTGCTTATCTTATTAATTTACTTACTGATATTATTTTTTGGATCCTGTTTTTGTTGTTGTCTTCAGTGAGGAGAATTTTTCCAAAAGCTTCTATGAGGTTTTAGGTAAAGGAAATGGACCATTCTTTTTCTTTCTTTTCTTTTCTTTCTTTCTTTCTTTCTTTCTTTCTTTCTTTCTTTCTTTCTTTCTTTCTTTCTTTCTTTCTTTCTTTCTTTCAGTATTACAATGGGGTTGGGGACATATAAAAGAAAAGAATAAAATCTGGCTTAATTTAAACCCTGGATAAACTTTCAAAAACTACAAGGCATTAAATATGGTTATTAAATTAAATAAAAATGTTAAAACTTCTTGACTTATGCCATTATGCCATATGTGCTAATCTCTTTTAATTGTCCCCAGCTAGACATCAATTTCTTTAAAGGGAGTTTTAAAAAAAGAAGGATGGAAAATTCTTAACTTGGCTAGGTAATAATCTGCTTGCAAATTGTTCATTTATGTCACCAAAGGGAAAGGGGTGCTCACATTAAGTACTGCATGCTAATATGTCTCCTCTAGCTTTCCCACATACTTTAACTAAAATTGCTCATATTTCTCCACAGAAATGTCACAGAATGTCTGTGCAAGCTGATTTTTATGGATTTCTGTGAAAAGCTTGAGAAAGGGCCAGGAAATAGTCTCTCTCTCTCAGGCTAACTCACTAGATTACTTTCAGAACTCTTTGGCTGTGTCTTACTACATTTTGTGTGCTGGAACATAATATCTAAAACTGTGTAATTTATAACAATCAGAAGTTTATTTCTCTTAGTTACAATGACTGCAAAGTTCAAGGTCAAGGCATTGGCAGATTTGACTCTCTGGTGACAGCTGCTCTCTGTTTTCAAGATGGTACCTTCACACTACATTCTCCTGCAGGAATAAGCACGTTTTTTTACACAGCAAACTGAAACTCCTTCTGTCAAGACATTCCATATCACCTTTAATCCTTTCATGACAGTGGAACCCTTAGGATTTAAAAAACCTCACCAAAAGCCCTACTTCTGCTACTGTTGCATTGGGGATTAAATTTCCAACACACAAATTTGGGGGATACGTTCAGACTGTTATAGGCTGTAAAAACAAAAAAACAAAAAACAAAACTACCATTATGGGCTTTTGTATATTTAACATCAACTAAAGCATGGCTATTTGTAGACTAGAGTTTTAACTGTTAGATACGATTACAATTATTAAGTAATCTAAAAATGCTTAGTTTTCTTTTGTATATGGAGGAATATGAATTCAAAATGAATCTCTCCTCTCTAAGGACTACAGTGTTTATGTAAAAATAACAATTTAAATCCATAATCTGTCCATAAAATACATTGCAAGATTCTTATGTCTAAATAAATTCTGAAGTTCATTAGCAGTATGTTTGTTTCTTAGAGTATAGGAGATGTTAGAGTGTTTAAAGATAACATTTCACACAGGAGGGAAATTGAAATGCGTGAAGAGTAATAACTCTGTTGGTCCCATAGCATCTAAAGTAATGAGAGCCAGAACTTCATCCCAGGTTCACAGCCTCCCGGTTCTGTGATCTTTCTGATATGGTTTCATCATAATTACTGTGTACATGAGAGGATAAGGCTCTGGCCATGAGCATTAGTGACAATTGTAGAGGTCATTTAAGCCCCCAGTTGTTAGTTGTCTAGGAAAACTGTCTCTACCAGACCTGGAACACTTAAACATAAGCTTTCAATAGATCAGTCTTGGAAAGAAAAGACCCCACAGGCTGGTGGTCTGGGAGAAGATGCCAGAGATATCACAAATTAGGAAAGAAGTTTCAGCAACTAAATGGACCCATAGAAATTAGGACAATTTGTGTATTTACAGCCATTATATTATACATATGGCTAGTGCTTCATATTAATAGAGTCACTTTGTGATGAAAATACTGAGCATTTTCTTATTCCATATGGCAACAAAATAACACATGTAATTGAAGTATTTTATGCAGCATGTATTTGCTCTCTTTTTCCTACTGACTTGTAAACTCCATAAAGACCGTATTTGTTTTATCACTATCACCCAGTACTAAGCAGTGTCCCAAGCATGGTGAACACTCATTAAATTTGTGTGAAATAGAGGGAATCTATGTAGTAATGGGATAGAAGTCATAGATTATTAGAGCTCTCCCCTGTTTCCATAAACATGGAGTCCTCATCAATCTATTTACTCAGTTTAACCCTGGAATAAGTAGAATTCTCCCTGTATTAGGAGGCAGGCTGCTGACGACGACCTAGGTACCATAATGAACTCTGTGCCTTGTGTTCTCACCTACATAATGGGGATAATACTTGCCTGAGTTTCTCCCTCTGCATTCTTGTGAGGATTAAATTAATGCCATGTAGAAATCATATCCAGCTATTTAGCTACAAGGCCACGACTCCCAGTGGCATCACCACTATTATCACGGGAGCCCCTCTAGAGAGGTGCTCTTTTCCTACCTTCTGTGCATTTCTCCCTTGCTCAGAGTCTCTCAGTAAGAACTGTTGTGATGGTAACAGCAACACTGGAACAATTCTCCAGGACAAACGAGGATAGTAAGTACGTTCCTTTAGAAAGACATCTTCTGCAGAATAACATAGTTTTTTGATTTGCTTTTAGGAGTTTCCTAAAGGAATCTTTCCATAGTCTGTTGTTGCATGACTGCCTTTCAGTGGGTTTTATTTCCAGAGAGGCTGGATTTGTGGATGATGACAACAGAGCCTGAATCTCTGAGCTCCATTCTGTGGTAATTCTTTGAACATAAATTATCTCCCAGAGAAAAATGCATTTTGTCTTATTTTACAAAGGCCATGAAGGTTTTTCAGGAGCTGAGTAGTTTTGAGACCTTTAGAGGCACAGGAATTAGTTTTTGTATTATGCTAAGATTTGAAATTATATTTCTTTTATTGCAGAGATGTTTCCCTTCAACTATAAATCAATTACCTCTGATAAAAGTACATTGTCAAAGACGTTAACTATTGAGCTCATCATATTTTTTTTGTATTAGGAAACAAAAAAATACGTTTTTATATTAAATTCTCCAATGGAGTATTTAAATATATGCTTTGGTAGCTTTTATTTTTTCGGTAATTAGTTTTCTCAGAAAGTTTTTTAAAAAGTATCAAAAATTGAACTTTAATTTTACTTGAAATTTATTGAAGTAAGTAGGTATTTTGTTGAGTTATTTTAACCTACCATGAGAAGCTTAAAGATCGACTAAGCAAACATTTTGGTGTGTTACTATCAGAAAATTCTGTTGGGAACTGAGTTCAGTTTGTTTGTTTATTTATTTATTTATTTATGGTACTGGGGATTGAACCCAAGGACACTCTACTACTGAGCTACATTCCCAGCCTCTTTTTTAATTTTTATTTTTAATTTTGAGAGTGTCTCGCTCATTTGCTGAGACTGGCTTTGAATTGTGATCTTCCTGCCTCAGCCTCCCAAATCACTGGGATTAGAGGCATGCACCACAGCTCCATGTATTTTTAGTATAATGGAAATACATCTCAAAGCTGACTAATGTTTTGTAAGCCTACTTTGAAAAAAGACTCTTGGAACTGGTCCGTATCATTATCCATAAGAGACTTTTTAGGTGACAACCCTGCATAAGACCTTCTGTGAATGGTTGCTTATAAAAAATGTCACCCAAGACATAATTTGCTCAAGAAGCCTTTAATCCTATTGATAGTCAATATATATGTGGTTATAATTACCCAACCATACAAATGAGATAGTAATTTCAGTGAAAGTAACTTTCCATTACAAGGGTCCCAGTTCTGCTAGTTTTAAGAAATTGGGTAGATTGATCTATTTTGATCCCTACTTCTTTGACTATAAAACAGGAATCTTGATTTTTTTGTGTGAGATTTTTAAGCATTTAAAAGTGTGCTTTTGAGCCAGGCATAATGGTGCAAGCCTGCAATCTCAGCAGCTTGGGAGGCTGAGGCAGGAGGATCGTGAGTTCAAAGCCAGCCTCAAACACTTAGTGAGGCTCTAAGTAACTCAATGAGACCCAGTCTCTAAATTAAATACAAAAAAAGGCTGGGCATGTGGCTAAGTGCCCCTGGATTCACTCCCTAGTACAAAAAAAAAAAAAAAAGAGAGAAAAGAAGTATGCTTTTGGATGCAAAGTGTTTTGTAAATTTTAAGATGTGCATAAATGTTGAGTTTTATTTAATGATAACATATACTGTTACCACAGGCACAGTTTACACAATGAATGACATCACAGTTCAGAGAAGGAAGAAAACTCATACTAGCACTCATACTAGCAGGACTATTTTGGTATTGGGCATTGAACTCATGGGTGCTTTACCACTGAACCACACTCCCAACCCTTTTTATTTTTTTATTTTGAGACAGAGTCTTACTGAGTTGCTCAGGACCTCACTAACTTGCAGTGGCGGGCCTAGAACTTGCAATGGTCCTTTCTCAGCATCCAAAATCACTGGGGTATAGGCATGTATCTACCATGGTGCCCAATGTAAGATATGTCTCATTGAAATATATTTAAGGTTCATTTAAACCTAAAACTAAGTTAGAAAAATTATGGAAAGCTTTAATGATGCTTATGAGTCCACTTCTCACCAAGTTAATGGTGTTGCTTTTATTTTTTTTATTCCTTTGACACTAACTGAAACTATTTCTAGACTTAATAATATAGTCTGAAAAATCAGCATCATTTAAAATAGTTTTTTGTCACCAGAGATATCTTGGCTAATTCAGAAGGAAGAATGATGCAGGCAGGTAATGACCAGTAAAGAGAGGAATACAACATGATCAGCAACGGATTGAATCTGAGCCTGAGGATAGCCACCAGGTATTATCTGATGGACAGGTGATTACATGGAATCATCTGAATAGGTCACTTAGTTTCCTGTGCCATCCAGTCAGCTTGGTTTTCTGACAGGTGAAGTTCTATTTATGGTCTCTCTGTTTTGTAAAACTTCTTGATTGAAACATCTAAGTCAGAACTAAAAAGGTTAAAGGGACAGATATAAAAAGGATATTTCATTTTTCTGTGCAATTAAATTGCCAATCTCTTTACACTTATTTATTTATTACTTATCTATTTTTATTTTCCAGTAGGCAAATTTTCCTATGCAACTGTTATTCCTTCCCTAATAGTAAAGTTATTTTGTTATTCCAGTATTGCTTTTAAGATAGACTATT